GAAAAGCACTCCGGTGTGAACGCGCCTACTTAGACACTTGCTAGCTACCACTTTTAACGACCCGTATTTACTGACACATTTTATGTCTAAGACCTGGAAATCTAGCAAACTAGTATAAACAACAGACCTTATTTCAGGCATCTGACCAAAAACATTCAGAAACCATTGGAACAGGGAACCTGGAAGTGCTCAAATTCGTACTAATTTCTGGGTTTAGCACTCATTCCTGTGCCACTGAATTCATTGGTATTGTGCTATTGCCAAACGTTGAGGTGGTCTTAGTCACTCCTGATAAGCTCGTTGGTATCAGTAAACAGAAAACAGAGTGTTCTTGCTTATCCTAGGTTATCTTTTTCTACTTCTCATTAAGCAGAAATTCTTATAGTATAATCACTTCTACTACACATTCCTGATCACAAATGGCTATACTTTGGTGTTCTTCAGTGCTGACTTAAAGGAATGTTGCAATGATGAGGGTTTTATTTTTTAATTCCAATTATCTTTTGTCTCTGATGGTTTCCTGTTTTTAGCAACATTTTACCCAGATTGTTTCCCAGTCAGTGTGTTAGGGCTTTGTTGAAGATGTGCTACTGGCTTGATAGACTTTATTAGACATTGAAGGCTTGTTGAGCTTGGCCTTGAAGAGCCTGCCTGGCAGAGAGATTGGAATATCGCCTATTCGTGGGAGCAAGGTGGAAACTAATCTCTGAATCTGACCTTTTGACTGGTGATGATGAGTCTGTTGACTTCCTGACTTCTGTGCCTGTGTCTTCCATCTCATCTCAAGGTAAAAAAAAACGGATGGAAATGTGCTGCAAAAACTTCTGAAAAGTGTTTGTGCACTGTCTATTTTGTGTTTTATGGGGGTCAATATGCGCTATCCTGTGTCTACATCGGGATTCAATGGGTTTGCACTCGTAAAAAGTAGCCGTTCATTGCTGCTAGACCCAATTCAAAGTGGGACACACTGCACTGCTGGTAAAGATTATTCAGAAGCCAGTTTCTGTTTTCTTTTCCTTCAGCTCAGCCAGCAATTGTTCATTTATTACCAGAGGGAGGGAGACTCAGGGGGGTAGGTAGGTTAAAGATCACAAATGAAGGGAAATAATAAAGGAAGGGCTTTATCTAAAAGGTAAAAGGGCAAGACAGATTACACTAACCGTCTAATGCAGGGGTGTGTCCAAACTACGGCCTGGGGGCCAAATGCGGCCTGTGTACCATTTTGAATCGGCCCTCAGCAAATTAAAAAAGTATGATGAAATAGCCCACAAATGAAACATGTGCTTGTCTTATATTGTACTTCTTAAATATTTATGTACACATATATTACACAGTAGTATTCATGTATTAATAAGCCCAATTTTCAAATAAATTCAGTCAATTCATGTTGAAAACATTTTCTAACTAATCTTATTTGATAAAAAAAAAAGCCCAATAACTTATTTACATTACAAGCTTGAAATATACCCTTCATATTTCATCTTATTATAATCACTCTGAGGCTTCTGTTTTAAGGGATGAGCTGCCAACAAGATACATGAAACCCTATAGAGAGCTGTGATGTAAGCTGTTTTCATGTATCAAGCCTAATTTACCTACATGTTGCTAACTTATAACTGAACTTATGAGGCAATATACCTCACCTCTAGTGAGTGGCCCAGCCCTTCGTATATTTTTCTGTATGTGGCCTTCGGTGTAAAAAGTTTGGACACCCCTGATCTAATGTAAAGGAATCATTGCCTATGCATCTATTTTATATTCCTTCTTGTTCACCTGCACATGAAAATGACTACCCCTCGATGCCGTTACTTGACAGGAAGATGGGATTTCTGCCATTGTCTCCATTGTACGGCACACAGAAGGGGAATAAGCAATAGAGGGGTTTACAGTAGGCTTTACAGCAGCTTGTGGAAGTTGCTAGTGTGGGTCATGTTGTTCAAAAGAGTGCTACCTTTGTCAACAAAATATGCAGTCAGATTCAGACAGATCACCATGCAGCCTCGTCATGTAACATGTAAAGAGGCAGTGGAGGGGAACGTTGATTTTGTTACAAGTTGAAATAAGGTAATAAAATAATTATAAAAATTAGTTTAAAGTAAATAAAAGCATTTTACACAAGGAGTGACATCTTTAGCAGAGCAGGATCGTTAAGAGCATTCCATGGAATATAACAAAAAGTGTTTCTGAAGTGAATTACCTACCCGACCTTTAAGTTAAAACTTAAGTATGTTTCTTTTTTTATCTCAAATTTAAAATCTCTACATTTTTGGAGAGAATATTCAGAAAATACCTGGTAAAAGTAGATGGTCAATATATCAATAATACATGAATGTCATGATAACAAGACTTGATTATGTCTTGGATTCTATATTTCGTAATTTGACTTAAAGGGGACCTATCATGCAAAATGCACTTTTTGATGTCTTTCATACATAAAGATGTGTCCCCGGTGTGTCAGGGAACTCATGCAGCGTCAGAAAATAAAACCCTCTCTTTTCCTCCGTACCCAAATCTCTAAAAACGGGGCTACAACGGAGCTGATCCAGATTTGCGTCCGATATGACGTAATATCTGAAATGCGGACCCACGGCCCTATCAGAAAGTTGCTATCAGAAACAATGCCCGACTGTTTTGGACGTAATATGGTCGGTGTTTACATTAGCATCGCTAACACTCAGAGCTAACCTGTACTGGAGAGCATGTGTGTGAAGAAGCAGGAAATAAAAAGGAACTCACCTTGTGGTATAACTGGCAAGAGAGAAAGCCTTTGAGCTCCATACTGTTTCAGAAATAATCCTTGATAATCCATGATATGACGTTTCATCACCGCAGCATTTAGTTTAGACAGTAGCTGCCGGGTCCCGCATGAGCTCAGACCCCTCCTTTTTTTTAACGCTTTATACCCCAAATCATCACTTTTGAAACAGGAAGTGAAATAGAGGGATGTGAGGCATGGCTAGAATGGGTGATCTGTTTGGTATTTTGAGCAAAACACTTCATAGACATGTTTTTTATATATTTGTATATATCTGAGACCTATGCTATTGCCTAAAAATAGCATGATAGGTGACCTTTAAGTGTTCTCTTTATTCTTGGTTTAAAAGTCTGCATTGCAATAGATATATGGACGTGTCTGAACTCTCCAGACTGTTCTCAGTCGCTCTTTTATTATATGCCGTGTCAATATGTGTCCACTTTACTGATGATAATCAATCAAAAATCACATTGTGTACATATTTTGTGTAAGCACCAATGACAAACCATAAACCTTCATAGCATTACTGATGTGTAAAGTCAAACAGATGGTTATATTTAATTGTTTTCTCTATATCACCCACGCAAACATTGTTTTTCTGTTTCGAATTCAGACTTTTCTGTATTTTCCACTATTGGGTCCATCACTTGCACTATTTCACTTTTTCACTTTTTTTTTTACTATTTCTCCTTTTGTATTTACTTATTACGTGCACTATATTTTTGTGTTTTATTGTGTTGCACTGTTGGAGGAGCCTGTGACCTAAGATTTTCATCGTCATAACTACACTGTAGCTATGCATGTATGACCAATAAAAGCCTTGAAACCTGAAACCACTTGGTGCAGTCCGCTGAAGTGTGTTTTCACTTATATCTGCTTTAGGTCAAACCAACCAACCCTGTTTCTACAACCTCTACACGGAGTAGCAGCTCTCATTTGAGTGTGTACATGTATATATGCACATCTGTATGTGTTTTGCATTGAAGGTCACCTGTTTCCTGTCCCCTGTCAGCCTGGTTTTACCTGAGATGAGACTTTGCATCGTGATTACTTCATTTGTATGGCCAGCTTAGTCATGCAAGAAAGGCCTATGTCAAACCTTTTAAAGCAGGGGTGTCAAACTCAAGGCCCGTGGGCCAAATCCGGCCCGTGACTTCATTTTATGTGGCCCACAACAGCTCTGAAAGAATATAATATGTTTATTATACGGTTCCATGGCGATTTACAGAAGCGTTGCCCATAAACTACATGTCCCACAATGCATCTAAAATTTGACATTTTTTCTCAGAATTTGACTTTTTCTTGAAAATATGCCTTTTTCTCAGAATTTGACTTCTTTTTCAAAATGTCACTTTTTCTCTCCAAAATGTCACTTTTTGTTTCTTTTGACTTTTTTTCCAGAATTTGGCTTTTCTTTTTAGATCATTTTGTGACATTCTCACTGAAGAGACTTGCAATTATTTGCCCTAGACTTCTGCTTTCAGACGTAGTTAATTATGAAGTTATTACCCTATCCGATAATAATCCAATGCAGAGGCAATAATGTAATATAATACATTATTTTATATATATTAAATATTTATATATGTATTTTTATATAGTCTTAAAGTTACAACCGGCCCTTTGAGTGCAACCATAATGCTAATGTGGCCCGTGATGAAATTGAGTCAATGTTTAAAAAGTGTTTTCTCTTTCCAGCAATCGAGAAAAACATGGAGAGAAGCACTTATTGACTGCAGTCTGTTCATCAAAACATCTTTGAATTGTATCGTGTGTTAATCAGAGATGCAATCAGTCATGCCTTTTTAAACCTGACAACAGTAGCTTTGTTTTCAACACAGGAGAACAATGGACAGAAAGAGAAACCTGTTACTGAGATAAAGGGAGATCTCAGTAAACAAACCGGAGCCTCACTGATGCACCAGTCTCAGCAGCCAGTAGTGATTCTTTGACTTGATAAGCATACTTGGCTGAAGATAAATACTTGCCTTTGTGTTTGTTGATAGCAGCAGTGGAAAAAGCTTTGCCTCCAGGCCATTGTTTCAGCACATTTGCTTTGGTTAAACACGGCCTTCAGGGAGCTGTCGGATTGGTTTTTGAAACGTCACACTTTGTTTACGGCTTCATTTTGTGCGTCCATATTCAATCGGAGAAGCCTCCCCCTGCTGTCTCTGCGTACTGTATACTCTGTTTATAATGCAACACTGACTCTGTGTCCCTGTCCTCCTCCTGTTGTTTGTTTCAGATTGTGCTGTGAACGTTCACAAGAGCTGCAAGTCTCTGCTGGGTGAGTGCACCAGCAGCAGGAACAAGGTAAACACTACACTGGAGCACAGAACAACAGGCAGCAGTTAAGTGTACATACAGCAGGGTGTGAATCCAATAGTTACAAAAAGATTGTATCGAAGTCTTCAAAAAATGATCGTACAGAAGTAGGATCATTTCCTTGTTTATCTTCACGGCCTACTGTATATTTTCAACGTTCTAATGCTGCTTTAATTCTAGTTTGAGATGTTTAAATTCTAGTATGGTTTATTTCTAGTCTTTCATTTCTACTTATGTGCAATGTCTAGTTTTCTTTTGGTTTTTTTTATGCTGCTGCAACCAAACATTTCCCAAATTGGGATCAATAAAGTACCTCTTATTTTATTTTCTTATCATTTTTCTCAAAGACTTCTATACAGTCTTAAACCTGCATTCCCTCATATCGAGCAGGGTGAGATATCACTGGTTGCAAAAAGAAGTCTGATTCTATAGAAGTCTATGAGAAAATGACCCTACTTACTTAAAGGGGACCTATCATGCAAAATGCACTTTTGTACGTCTTTTATACATGAATATGTGTCCCCGGTGTTCCAGGGAACTCACCAAGTGTCAGAAAACACAACCCTCTCTATTTTCCTCCATACCCAAATCTCTAAAAAAGGGGCTGCAACGGATCTGATAAAAACTGATCCAGATTTGAACACTGTCCTGACGTCAGGAAGGTGGCGCTACGGCTATTGGGCCAACTCCACCAATCAGGAGGAGACAACCACGGCCATTGCCGTTCGAAAGCGCTGGAGACGCTGTAGTACATATGCCAGGCCTGTAGGTGGTGCTGTTCTCACAGAATCAGCCCTTGCTAAAACAGATCTAAAAAATGTCAAATTGAGCAAAATGAGGCATGGCTAAAATGCATGATCTGTTTGGTATTTTGAAAAACAAAAAGTATAAATATGCCTTATATAGGTATGGTCCTACACTATATTATTCAAATATAGCATGATAGGTCCACTTTAATTTATTACCTGACTTAGCAATTTCCTAATGAGTCTTCAAGTCTCCTTCAATACAACATGAGTTCATCTCTCTCAATAATGATCCCATTTAGAGTAAAAAAGAAAATAAAGCATTGTACGGATTAGGGTGGAGCTACCATTTGATTGACATTTTTCGGACAATCTTACCCCTAAGAAAGTGTGTTTTCACGTCTCCAAAGTTACTTTCGCTACGCCTAATCATTTGTTGTTCAGCTTTTCAGTTGAACTTATCTCCACCCTTCGATGCTTCATCTGGTTCGGCTTTTTCTACGTATACAATCCATGGGTGATGCATATTAACCCTTTATGTGGCAAAAAAAGTTTCCACATGTAGCGACTGTACACAAGGCCTTTAAGACAGCGATTACACGCCTTTGTCCACTCTTATGGGTCTGCCTGCGATGGGCTCTGCTTGTTAAGGCCGTATGAGCAGTAGAGTAGAAAAGACACTAATGGCGTATTTCCACTGCAGCACGTAGCACGGTTTAAGCGTGCCGTGCCAAACCCGGCCCGTTTTCTTTTGCTTTTCCACTAGGGGTAGTTCCGACTCAGGGCTACTTTTTCACCTTTTTTCTGGCCCTCCAAAATCGAGGTTCTTACCGGGCCAACAACCGGGCTGAGTATGCTAAACTAGTGACGTAAACTCTCTCGACTGCTGATTGGTCAGAGAGAATCGCTGGCAAGGGGGCTACAACTACAACAAAATGAACATATGTTACCGTGATTTAATTGTAATACACGTTTCAAAATGATGCCGAAGTAATAACATACTGATACCGGTTAGTAAAAACCATGAATTAATGCTTTAACAAGTCTGCAGACAGACGGCAGGCGAAAAACCTTTTTAAAATGCGTGTTTTCTGAATGGAGATCGGCTAAGCTAACGCAGTATATGCTCCGACCGTCCACACTCACAACAACGGCCTATACAGACATAAATAAACCAGCGACTGTACTCGCCATGACACAGACAGTCTGTGGTGTGTACTTGTTTAACTTTTGTCTAGTTTCTGAACAGATATGAGGAGCTGTGAGCTTTGAGTGCTAACAGCTAACGGCTGATGTTGGTTTTGTGTTCGCATTGAAGATGACGTCACGGCTCCGCCTACACTGCGTTACTATAGTTACTGCCCCAGCTACTAAACTGTAATGGAAACGCAGCATAAAGTGAGCCTGGCCTACCAAGGCCTAACTATACCGTACTAAGCCGTGCGAGGCCCTGCAGTGGAAATGCGCCATTAGAGAGTGCAATGGTTTGGTATTTTGTATTCTGTCACTCAGGATACAAAAGCTTGAGAAATGACTGCCTGTCTTTATTTCCTCCACACAGAGAGATTCTCACCCGAGGATTGGCTCGTCAGGATCTCCTAATCCTGGTAAGCAGAACATACAGATGTGCACCTGATCCCACTGACAAGGGCGTTAATTAGAGAGGAAAGGTAGTTTAGTTGCTGTGCTCTCTCTCTCTCTGGAGGTTTGCTGAGGATTAAGCAGATGAACTCTTATTAACACTAAGCAGGGAATCGTCTTCTTTCTTGCTTTTACTGGCTGTGTGTGTATGTGGGTCTGGGTCTTTGTGGTATATGTGTGTCTCCATGCAAACTGAGCATTAAGGCAAGGATTTTTTTTTTTTACAGTACATTTAAACAACAAGGCAATTCAAAGTGCTTTACAAAAACGTTTAGACAGTAAGACATGAGTAAGTTATGATTAGTTATTTGATTTCATAAAAGGCAGCTGCATTAAAAGAAAAGGAGAGGGGGAGATCGGTCTCCAACAGACTGTAAGTAAAGGTGATAATTGGCCTTTGTTAGCAACGGTCAGAAGCATTACCTCGGGAACAATTCCTGCAATCATAAGATTTAGTAATATTTGATCATTTATACACAGGAGAAGAATGATTGATTAAATGTCAATGCACCTGTATGCAGCTTCGTCGGACCATAAGATACAAAACAAATATTGCATATCTTTAAAGAAGTTGTGCAGATGTTGTATTGCACTACAGCATTATGCTTATTTCTTTACATGCTAGTAAAAGTATGAGATTAAAAGCACAGTTTGTATCAACACACAGAGAGACGAAAAGAAGCAAATCAAATCTTTTTTTAAAGAATGATACTTTTAGAATAGAACATTTTAGTTGGATTGAAGACACTTTGACATACATTCATGTGCTTTTTGCTTGCATTCATTACCATAAATTGTTCCATCCCAGGTAATGTCACACAACGCTCCATTAGTTATAACATCGAGCCGGTCCTGTTGCATGTGATCGATCCCGCAGGAGGCACGAGCGTCTGCTGCAGCAGCAGCAGCAGTTTAAGTTAATTTCCTGTAGCAGTTGTTATTCCCCTCCTAACAGCTGGAGTCCTGTCAGACACACCTGAGCCCTCCTCTGGCTAATCAGCAGCTCGTGCAGGGGGTCAGGAAGACGAGGGGAGAGAAAATGAGGAGGGAAAGAACCAGAAAGTGCGAGAAAGAACGAAGACGTCTGCATATATATAAAAAAAAACAGGCTTTAGTCAGGCTTCTTCTCAGGTCACGTCAAAGAGGGCACATCGCTTTTGCAATAATACCTACTCCTATTGCGCCGTACACTATTTAGCCTTGCCACGGTTTTTGGATTATCACAAAGCTCCTCCTGCCACTCCTGCAAAGTTTGCAACCTTCACAATGGAGCCAGAGGTTTCTAAAGTCGCTGCCCAAACCACAGTTAGCTCCAGGATTGCTAAATCACTCTCCTCCTCATCGCGGGGTCTGTCGAGACACGTCGGCGTTCCAGTGTTGATGCACCGCGACCTGATGACCTGCCGATTACTCCGACCCTGCCTCGATCTCTGCAGAAAAAAAAATACTGGGTTCGACTCGGACGGGAGTCAAACAAAAACCCGGCGTCCTCTTCGTCCTCTCCTCCTCTCCGCTGGTCATCTTCCCATTTCTCCCTCCCCTCGACTACTTTCTCCACTCCTTCCTCCGCCGTTTCCTCTTGTTTCCTCCGCTCACCTGTGTCTCGTTTCCTCCCCCCAGCGCTGAAGCACCGGGACAGAGAGCTAACGGGCCTGGATGGCCACCCGGGTTCTCTCGGCACCCCAGGCATGACCATCAGTCCGTGGGGAAACAGCACTCACACTCACACCCACAGCTCCACAGCAGCATCCAACGCTAGCCTCCGTCACCACAACAGCTCAGGGTGAGTACCTCCGTCACTGAGGTTCTTTTAGGGCGCAGAAAATGTGTATCTTTTGTACAAAGATTGCAGCAAGGTGGAGTATTTTCTACTATGTAATAAAGGAAGGGGAAGTACTGAGACAACATTATTAGGACAGGTCTTTTGAGACCCCTTGATAAATCACCGTTTTGCAATCAACTATATTAAAATCAAAGTATTATTATTGGCTTTACTTTTTAATAAAATCCCCCTAATTTTCTTTTAAATATCATTTTCTATATATATATTTGTGGGATATGTTTTTTTTCGTACACATTTTTTCCCTCCTTTCTCCTGCATTCACGTACGAACTGTAGTTTCATTTAAAAGCCCAAATAATAATGATTTTCTTTCTTGTTTTTATTCTCATTTATTTGTTTCTCCGCTCGGATTTTCATTCTCAAAAAAAACAAACTACATACATTATGTATCTTAGTTTTTAAAAACTTACACTGACTCAAGAAATTGTGTTTTTAGAGTAAAGTACATGAATGGGCAAACAAAGTGAATAAATACAAAATAATAATCAATTTTTTTTAAACACCCGACTGACAGGACTCCTCGTCACCTAGAGTTCAAAACCCTCTGTGAAAATTAGCCCTTACTCTTTATTTGTGCAGATGTTTACAGGACCTGCTGTATGTTAATGCTCAATATTTTTAGAAGCTTTGATGCTGAGATACTATTTTCTCTATGCTGTCTAAAGATGTGTATTTTTAGTTGGCACATCAAGGCAAGCTGTCTTTTTCCAATAAAGCTATCTATAAAGTGGACTCGATTTCTGCTGCATCCGTTAGAAATGTGCACAAGAAGGGACGATTATGTTGGAGGGAAAGAGACCGAGGAAGGTGTAAACAAGAGCAGAAGACAGAGAGTCATAGATAAAGACAAATGTAGCTGCATGAATGTCTCCAGGTTTAATGTCATGTGCACCTGTGAATGCACATGTTGGATTTCTTTAGCGTGTAGGTTTAAGTTAGTCTCAGCATGTATGCCACCTTAGACCTGTGGTTGTCCTCCCTCAGATCCCTCCCCGGGGAGATGGATGAGACGGATGCTCTCCGCTCCAAACGCTGCAACGAAGACGCCATTTCCCTCGCTCCCTCCACCACCGAGTCCATCATCGTCGAAGGTGAGTTTCACTTACCGACGAGGGGGATTGAACCCTTAAAGACATTCTTGCTGTGTGTAGGGTTGTTGTTCTGTATGGATGTTTGTTTTATGCCTGTGTGAAACTATGTTAAGGTACGTAGAAAAGCCCTATATACAATTACATGACATGTCACTTGTTAGACGCTTTTATCCAAAGAGACTTACATACTCAATACTGTGGACAATCCCCACAGGAGCAATTTGGGGTGAAGTGTCTTGCCCAGGGACACAACGACATGCTGACTGCAGTGGGGTTTGAACCTGTGACCCCCTGATCCGAACACCAACGCACAACCCACTGCACCACACGCCCCCACATGTATTATTTTGCTGGCAAATTGGCTTAATTGACAAATCTGTTTCTTCAGAAATAATTATCATGTAAAAAGCACCGCATTAAAGGTTGTGTTTACCAGAGATTTGTTTATACATTTCCTGGAAACAATCCCTCAGCATGAACAATTATGAATTCACCTAAAATGTCTGAGATAAAAACAACTGATTAGTTTGAATCATAACCCAATGCCAAACTAAGACAACTTTGTAGTTTACTGTTTCAAATATAACCTGTGAAATAATGCTTTCTATGGTAAAATGGCTTGGTAATTGGGCTTGAAACTTAGGTAGTGCTGTTCTCTGGTTTTGGGTTATACTGAAAGACGATGAATACACATAGTCATCAGATATCATGCTTTCTTTGCCACCATTTGACTTTGAAAACTGTGGCAATTAAGCTATGAAAACCCTCACAATCTACACTGCAGCTTCATCTGTAACCTCTTAGTTAAACTACATTTAATGTACTACTATGAATTGAATATACCTCAAGTAAAAAACAAATCATTACATTTCCCTTTAGTCAGCCATAAGGGAGGTGGTTATGGTGCTAAGAGTACCTTTTATTTAGTTTGCCTGAGTATTAATAGTAGTTTGTCTTCAGGGAATCCAGGGAGGAGTGTGGGAGGAGTGTGTTTTGTGGAGTCAGGGATGACCTCACCCTCATTAAGTTGTAGTGTGTGGGAGACAGACTAACACAGAGAGCTGCTGCTGCACCATCTTCTTCCTCCCAGCCGCCTGGTTTAAACGTTATTGTTTTATCAGACACACGCTTCACATTAGATATGCTGCACCACAGCAGCATGTAGATTCCTATTTCCTCTCTCTGTTCCTTTACGCCGGTATATTGCTTCTTTCACTATCTTCATGTATCATTTTCAGGCGTGCCCAAATACAAACAGACGAGACATTACGTCAGCACTGAACGTCTTAAACTTGGATCCTTCACAAGTAGTAATTGGAGACTTAAGAGAGTCTTCTCTAGATATCACTGTTCATCATGTATGAATGATTCAAAATGTAGAAAAGTCTGGTAAAGTCATCTAAGGACTTGTCTTTTCGAGGAAACAAGATCTTTACATCAGAACTGCGATGATTTCCTGCCATGTAGGAGTTCATTGAAAGGTTTTCTTCTGTATTGTAACTGTGTTTTTGATGCTCCTCTCCTCAGATGCTCACTATGCAGCAGTGCGGGCTGATCTGGAGTCAGATGCTCAGGACCTGGAGGCAGAGTCGTGGAGTTCGGCAGTGGACCAGCCTTTTGTGAAGAAGCACCCCAAACAAATGGTGAAGAGACAGGATGTGATATACGGTAAGTGAGTTCACACCTGTACAGTGGCCGACTGGCCATCGGGACGTTCGTGGCGAATCCCGATGGTCCGGTACCGAAGTGGGCCGGTCGGACGATGTGGGCCGGTCGTATAAGTCACTAGCACCCCCCCCCCCCCCGTTGACAATTTACTAGCGGTACCGAAGTGGGCCGGTCGGATAAGTCACAAGCAAACCCCCCCCCCCCCCCCCATTTGACAATTTACTAGTGGTACCGAAGTGGGCCGGTCGAGATTCCCGTCCCAGTCCGCCCCTGCACGAGACCTGTAAACTTTGATATGGTGGAGTTAAATTATGAGAAATGACTTAAGCCAGGTTTATGCACAATAGAGCTGTCACAATTTCAGATTTTCACATTTAAAGAAAAACAAAATCAATGCAATAATTATAGAAAATACAAATAAATTATACAAATGCATTCTTAGCTTTGTTTGATGACCATTTGTGTGTTCGGGGCGGGAGAGTTAATAGAAAGAAACTAAATGTATAATAAGCCATGGATTTATAAGACAATATTTTAATGTGTATTATTAACATGATTTGATTTAAATAGAACAGTTATTGTCAAGACTGTTATATTGTGACACCCCTAACGTAAGAGGTTATTGAAAATAGGTTATGAAAAGTTAAGATGGCAAAGGAACTGTTTTCAGTCAATCCATATCATTGCAATGCATTATACATGTATGTGCTTAACACGTGTCACGCCCTGGCTCAAGGACGGACAAAACAAGGAGACCACACATCATTCATATCCAATTAAAGTATATTTATTTAAAGAAACTAAGTTAATTATAAAGTCAGTTAATCAGTAATGTGTGTAGTGTGTGGGTGTGTGAACATGTATCAGTATATAAAGCAAAGACAAACAAACCAAGAGGAGAGAGCGAGACTGACTGCTCAGGCACCCATATTTGTAGCTGAGCAGTCAACCAAAATCAGGTGTCAGCAATCTCTCCTGATTGGGGGACTGGCTAACCAGGGACTTGAGTCTAAGGCCTAGGGGCCGTCACACACGGCAGAAGATAAACGTATAATATATAACAACTTTGTGTCCTGGTGCAGAGCTGATGCAGACGGAGATGCACCACGTGCGGACGCTGAAGATCATGCTGCGTGTTTACGTCCGGGAGCTGAAGGAGAACCTGCAGATGGATTCTGGGAAGCTGGACTGTCTGTTCCCCCGCCTGGAGAACCTCCTCGAGCTTCACACACACTTCCTGTCTCGCCTCAAAGAGCGGCGGCGAGAGAACCTCACTTCGCCCAACGAGAGGAACTACTCCATCAACAGGGTGGCCGACGTTCTGATCACACAGGTAGGGAGGAGATGATGCCCATGGAGAGCTCACAATACATGACATTTAGCTGACTTTTATCATAATAAGTGCCATTTTTTTGGAATCGTGGGAAGCACAGCATTTGTTAAAGGTTAATTATGTGTTTAAATAACATTTTGGTAATTGGTAAAGTTTCCTTTATTCTCCAGTTCTCAGGTGAGGTGGGGGGGAGGATGAAGGAAAGCTATGGAGATTTCTGCAGTCACCACACCGAGGCTGTCAGCTACTACAAAGAACAGCTGCACAACAACAAAAAGTTCCAAAACATCATTCGGGTAAGAGATTTAAATCCCCAGTAAATCTGTAGCTAAGTATTAAATCCACTAAATGTCTTAATTAAGTTATTTCATTTCCAGAAAGTCAACAACCTGTCCATTGTGCGGAGGTTAGGAGTGTCCGAGTGCATCCTGTTGGTGACGCAGCGCATCATGAAGTACCCGGTACTAGTGGAGCGCATTATCCTCAACACTGAAGGTGTGGATTTTTACATGCTTATTTTAATCTATAAAACACAAAAGAGTGGTGCAGGAATGAGTCCTATATCTCAGTTATGAGTCAGCATTTTAACACTTCTGGCTCTTTTATCTTAGACATTTTTGTTTAAATTATTTTGGTTAGATTCCTGAAATAAGGTCTGTGGTTAACACAAGCTGAAGATATTTAGTTGTTTTATTCGACACCCTAAAATACATCAGTTAATACCCCAAAAACAGCGGTTGCTAACAAGTGTCTAAATGGCACGACTAAACGTCATCACGGCCAACATTAGCCGCTTTTAGCTTAGCGGTGGTGACGTGAAGTCATGTGACCGTGTCAATAAACATCTCAGTATCATAAACATTTGTTTCCACTAGAGCAGTGACCATCAACTGGCACGCCAGACATTCTCATCCGGCACGCGCTGTGGCGCTGGCGGAGTGGTTAGTGCGTTCGCCCCCCACTAAAAAAAAATGTTAACAACGTCCCGTGAGTAATGTGCAGTACCGGAGTCCAACAGAGAGGCAGCAGCTGCGGGACAGTAGCCTGCGTACTGCGTAGCCTTCCCTGCCCTGAAGAAGAAGTGATCCTTCGTTAGCGTGAATAGTCTGCTCCACAGTAGCCCCCGCTATGAGGCTCCGGCGACTTGACAGTACATGAGCGTGCTCCACCAGCACCCCCCGGTCAACAACTTCAAAATTCAGGGCTATAAAAAAAAATCACTGGCCCCCGAAAGTGTCTCTAGGAATAATTGTGGCCCTTGTAGTTGGTGATCCCTGCACTAGAGCTTATTTTCTGCAATCATTCAAAATCTGCCTGTAGAGGGCGCCCCTGCGATGCTAACTTACGGCCTACACAAATACGTCACCCCTGCACCACGATTAATAATAGTGCACCTATTTATTTAGCGAGGAACACTCATTATAATTTCATGTTGCTGTATATAACAAAGGTACATTTCTCTCCCTGTCTCAGCGGGAACAGAGGAGCACGAGGAGCTGACCCGGGCTCTGGGTCTGATCAAAGACACCATCGTTCAGGTGGACACGCTGGTTAATGTCCACGAGAAGAACTCTCGACTGCAAGACATTCACAACAAGA